ATAATAATAATAATAATAATAATAATAATAATAATAATAATAATAATAATAATAATAATAATAATAATAATAATTTTTTTCTGCATTTAAAACAAACAAACAAACAAAAACGATCCAATGTAGCGCGCTCAAAACAAGGATAAAGCTTTACTTATGGTTTTATGAGATCTATTTACTTCTAAAGCACTGATTGTGCTTTAGAGGTAATTAGCAATGTAATTCACAATTCACCACCGTAATAGCTTTTGACTTTTCGGAGAGCCTGCCAGTTCGAAACAATGTTTCAACATGTTTCGACCAAACAATCTTCCATGTCAGAAGTGCAGCGGACTCTCGGTTGCGCCATGCCAGCTGTTCTTTGTTTGGGATTCTCCTCAGTGCTTAGTCATAGCTTTCTTATTGGCTACCTGTCACATTCAACAGGCTGCGTTCTTGCTCCCAGCCAGGGGAACACCACACACGCTGCGATAATCGGGCAAAGAAAATCAAACATGTTGGATGTGTCCGATTTCAGATCAGAGCGGTCCGACGTTCTACCGACTGAACCCGATCAGTCGTAACACACCACACACTACAGGATCCAGAACGTTCTAAGATTGTCGTAAGGGCAAAATTGGGGTAAAGAAAATCGTGTAGTGTGAATTGGGCTTTATAGGCATTGTGTAGAAAATGGGACATATTTCTGGAGGCTAATAAACGCTAATGCTAGACTTTGTAGACGTGTGTTGAGCTGAGGAAATTCACTTTGAACTAATTGTATTCATAAGATGTTGTTTTGGCGTCATTATTTTTAAAATTGACATTTTTATGGGTTATTGCAAAAGCCAGAGAAACCACAGTGCTATAACATTTGGTGAGTAAATAATGACTGCCTATGTGTAAAGCTTGGTAAAGAGAGACAGCATTAAAGGAGCATCACACCTTTTCCAATTTTGTTGTTAGTTTTTTGTGTAAGAGATGAAATACTATTCCGTTAAAACAATGAATACACTTGAAAGCCAAAATGCAGAGGTCCTCAAGTCTACAAGAAAGCTTGATCTGATGGTGATATAACAGGATGTTTCTAAAAGAAAAAAATAAAAAGAAAAAATACAATTCTTTGAAGTAAAAGGAAGGGTGAAGAGCTACATGAAATCTGTAGAGAACATCCTCGGGATGAGAATAATTTGCTGCATGCACAGCAATAAATTAGTGGCCTATGTCCCTTTCTTCTCCATCAGCCCATGTTATCCTTACTCTCTTATAGATTCTTTCAGTTCATGCATGACTTAATGGATTCTCTGTCTCCTCTTTTGTGCAGAATATAAACATCAAGGAGTGCTGATAAGACACTAAAACAGGCAGTCATGTGAATCCAGGTGTGTATGACACAAGGAAAGGGAAGGAGTAGTTTTCCTTTAAAACCTCAGTTTGACAGATTGCCAGTTTAACCACTTCAAACCGGTGGCTGTTGTTGCCGTCCACCTAGCATATCAGGCTAATGAAGAGCATGAAGAAGACTAAATGACCGGGGATTGGGAAAGTGGCTAAAAAGGCAGAAAGGGGGATGAAAATCTCCACATGGGGTCATGGATTAAGCTGATCAGTTGGGTGTGAACCCAGTTTAGCCGACATAAATGAAATCAAAGTGCATTACGCGAAATTGAGCAAATAAAGGTCTGTGCTAAACTGGTGCCTGTAGTGCACCAATGCCATGCAATACAACATACTCAGAGGTTAATGCACTCTAATCCTGAGGTTTATCACATGGGTTGGTTTTAACAGATTTTCTGTCATGCTGTAAAAATGTGTTAATATGTTTGAGTAAAGGATTGATGCAGTGAGTCGTTATCTATAATTTGACTTAAATATTGCTTAAATGATTAGTGGACTCATTTAATATAAAAAAGAAGCACCCAACTAATGCATGTTATTCTGGCTACAACCTGTCTAAATAGAGAGGGAAATTATTTTGACATGCACAGTATCAAACAATTTGACTACATTACATTATTTATAATTTATTATATATTCCAGAAACATGGTTGTGTTTTATAGCACTATCAAGTATACTCCCTTCAGCTGTTATTGAAATGCTGCTTATCTCAAATCTAACCCAAAAGAAAATTGACTTTGCAATTATTCACTCTTAAGTGAAATTCTCCATGAACAGGGTGACGCAGTCAATGCAGCTGCAGACATAAGCAATAGGGCCAAGCAGAGAAATTTGCTGACAGGATGAAAGAACCAACAAAGGGCATTGTTTTAGTTTATATGCACTCACAAGGACTCACCATGATAAGACAACTAAGAGGTAATGGGGATAGCATGTGGAGGTTTTGTGTCCTAAAATTATTTTTAACAAAGAGTTTAGAATAAAGCAGAATTACTAAAAGGACACATCCCACAAATCGTAATGTTCTACAAACGGTTACCTATGAATCCATAAATATGAAAAGTGCCCGAGTCTTCATATCGGACACAACAGAATATATAAATATTTCAATGAAAAATTGATTCTGGTTTAAGGATTTTTGTCACTGCCTGAGCCGCAACTGTGTTGATCCCTAGAGAGACATCCGACATGCAAGCGATTACATCCGGTGATACAAAACTGACAAACCAATCTTTATCTCACGAGGGGTGTGTAGGTTCTTTTGATGTCTAACATTTTTTCAAATTTTTTTTTTTTTTTTTTTTCCCTGCCAGTAACAACAAATAGGTTTTGTGATTTCACAACAGCTGTCATCTGAAAAAAAGTTATTGT